TTTTATAAAATAATTTTTTTTTATAAAATTATTTTTTTATAAAATAATTTTTTTTTATAAAATATTATTTTTTTATAAAATAATTTTTTTTTATAAAATTATATTTTTATAAAATAATTTTTTTTTATAAAATTATTTCTTTATAAAATAATTTTTTTTATAAAATTATTTATTTTTTATAAAATTATTTATTTTTTATAAAATTATTTTTTTATAAAATAATTTTCTGCGAATCAAAAGTAATAATAATTTTATAAAGTATATAATTAATTATTTATAAAACAAAATAAGTTTATTTAGCACTTTTAATTTTGACACAAACGGCGCCTCATAATCGCCGGTTTTTTATTCAATCACTAAAACCAAAAAGAATATTGAATGACTTTTTCTAAGCTCCCATTATTATAATTTTGTAATATTTTCTTTCTAGGACTAGGTTCTTCTCCAACTATCGGAAATTCTAAAAATTTATATAATTGAAAATTGCGTTCTGAAACGTTTGATACCTAAACTTTAGGTCCTAAAGTCTGTTTCTTAACCAAACAGCTCGCCAAACAGCGATTTTATCCTATTCTATTACATTATAGATTGATGATGCAAGTTTAAAACATTCGCCCATTATTATGAATTAAAAAAAGTAAATAATATCTTTTTAAAAAGTATTTCTGGATATTTTTTTGGTTTTAGGTTTGTCGGTAAAAATTGTTAAGCAATCCGAAGAAGATATCTCAAGGTCATTAAGTTATTCTATATTTAATAAATTTTTTCTACTCCCACCATTAAAATTCCCATTCTAGTACATGTTTCCATGACATTTTAAATACATATTGACAAGCTGTGTTTTAGTCACGTGCTAAAGTTAGCAACAGGTTTTTATTAACGGGCTGAAGTTAGCTTTAAGTTAGTTGACAGGTGTCAAATGTCATACAATCGTTAAAATAAAGTGCCCTTCTTGTAAAATAATACTAAATGTGAAAATTTTTCATTACCTCAATACAAAAATAAAAAAGTATTAAATAGTTTCTTGAAGCCATATTTTAAAATATTATATGAACGTTTGTACTGTCCTTTTAATTTCGCCGTAGTAGTGCAGTTAACTAGATTTAACTGATAAAGCTTTTTAAATTTTTGCGTACAGTGCCCATAAAACATTATCTTCTGTTTAACTGTAAAAAACTGCTTCTATATCGATTGTTAGTATATTTTCAAGGTATAAATTTTGATTCCCCAGTTATAAATTCGAACGGGAATTAGATGTCATGAACTATTTAAACCTCAAAAATCTACGCATTAAAAAAGTCTTAGCCTTAGAAAAATAATAAACATAGGGAATTTACGAGTATTAAGTATATTACCTGCCTCTCAAGTCTAGCAATCAGAGGTAAACAATGATTAATGATATGTACAAGTTTAATAAAAAACAATGCGTTATAATCATTAAGTATTTTTTTGCATCTATAATTATAAGCGTAGAACAACTTACATGGAATCTTCAAGTATTGTACGGGATCAATTAATGGATTCTTGTTATTTTCAGGTTTTATATATTTAACAAGTCACGACTTGACACAGTGAATGAAATGAGGTTATGACACAACACTCCGTCAAACAATAATTCTATAAGCATCATGGCAATCTTGGTTTAGTAGTACTAAACCAAGATGGCACTTATGTACTAAAACTTCCCCATCCCTTGTATATGCTAATGTATTTCGCCTTAAAAATTTGATTTTAAACAAAATAATTCACCAAGTTTTTTTATTTAAAGCGATTATACCACAATGATGATTGATGATTTGGGGAGCTTTTGCAGGCAGCACTTGGGCACACATATAACCCATTGTGCAAACCCCCTTTTGGTGAAGCCCTGCTTTACCTTACGATCCCGCAGCTTTTAAGAAAAGCGCAGACCCGCTCTGGTCGGCATGCATTTTTTCCTCTGGTTCCAAATATCTGTCCCCTAGGTGTCTTAGTCTACTATTGACTAGAGCGTCGCATTCGCAGACTATATGCTCTGTAGTTTCGTCTACTTCGCTGCAGTGTCCTGTTAGGACTCCTGAGATGGCTCTTAACTGCTTCCTATTAAGTTTCAGGAATCTTTTTGTCTCTTTGCAGGTAGTAGGACTTTTTATAAAGACCCTTGACTGCCTGAGGCCTTGTTGTTCACGCCATTTGTTCTGGAACTGGTCGTTAGTCCAGTTCCTGATCTTGGTTTTTACCAGACAGGAGGCGACCCCTATGACTGGCCCCAAGAAGGCCGTATTACTGCCCTCACGAGCCAGCTGGTCTGCTTCCTCGTTGCCTTTTTAAAAGAAACGAGGATAGACTGATGGGTCTATAGTCCTTTGCCGTCTCGTAGTTACAACGTCCTGGCTTGGGGATAAACCCCACTAGAACCTTTCGCCAGAATTGTGTAACGTATCCCCGTGCCAGGCAGGCTCTGAAGAGGGGTATTAAGTGCGGGGTCAGTGGTTATAGTCCATTTTGTAAGAGAGCCAGAAAGATGCCATCTGTTCCCGCGCTTTTAAAAGATCCAAATGAGTGGATGGCCCACTTTATGGAGCTTTCTGTCACTACCTTTGCAGCTAACTTCCAGACAGTCGGCCTTACGCCAGCTGGTGGAGCCTGCCTTGGTGGTTCAACAGTTTGCAGGATTTTTGAGCCCGGAAAGTAAGTTTCCAGGAGCCATTTAAGTGTCTCCTACGCGGTGGTACTATAGTCACCGGAGGGAAGTCTTAATGTCCCCAGCTCTCGTCCTGGATCCTTTGAGAGAATCTTTTGAAGCTTGGCTGCTGCTGGAAGCTCGTCTACGTTACCGCAGAACGTCCTCCAAGATTCTCTCTTAGACCTTCTTATGAGATATTTGTACCTACGCTGAGACTGATTGTGGCTGTCCCAATCCGCAGGTGATTTAGACCGCATGGCCCTGTTAAAGAGCCTGCGGGTTTCCTTGCGAGCCTTGTCGAGGTCAAAGTTCCACCAAGGGGTTTTCTTTTTTCCTCGATAGACCCGAAGCTGGCAGCTTCGTTCGTACGATGTGATGATTGCATCGCGTACGAATTCGGCTGTTTCCTCCACTTGCCGAAAGCTGCGGCACGTCATGGAAGAGTCCACTAGCTTAGTCTTTAGCATCTCAACATACTGGTCCCAGTTAGTGTTCCGGGGGTTCCTGAACCTACTGAGCCCAGCCTCGTGAGTTAGGTCTAAGCTAAAGAGAATGTGTCTGTGATCTGACAGGGATGGCTCTTCAGACACCTTCCAATTTCTTTTCATCGGACCATGGAGAGCCCAATGTCAAGTCTATCACCTCTTGTCTTCATGACGTGACAAAGGTCGGTGTAGTGCCGCGGTTTAGGATTTACAGATCCGTAGTATGTAGATACTCTAAGAGGCTGAGCCCTCTCCGATTCGTGTCGGTGCTTCCCCACACCATATGGTGTGCGTTGGCATCGCATCCGATAATCAGCGGGAGGCCCAATGTGCTGCAGTATTCCACTATATCGATGAGCTCCTTTGTTGGAGGATCGCCTATCGTCATAGGGCAGATAGGCCGAGCATACCACCAAGGATGTGCTCTCTCTTGGTCTGTCCTTAAAGCATAGTTTCACCGCTACTAAGTCCCTAGAACAGAAATTAGCTATTATTTAGGACTCGATCCGTCTGTCGACGTAGATACAAGCCCTTGGATTTAGTTGGTCGTCCCTCTTGTAGAAGAGGGATCTTTCCCATCTACCTAGGCCTCTTACGCGACCCTTGTATGACCAAGGTTCTTGTAGGAGATATACATGTGTCTGCCCCATAGCTATGTGACGATCTATTAAGGAAATCGTCACATAGCTATACCACAATGAACTTTAAATTCCAATCTTATTTGTTTGCTATTACACATGAAACTTAGTTTAAAAATAAAATTTATTTAACAGCACCCGATCGTTAGAGATAAAAATAAAATTTGTAAAAATTAAATTTTGAAAAAATTCCGTATTTTTAATTTTTATCGTATTAAAAATTATCAAAATGAATTTAAAATTTTTGTTACTTTTAATGAAAAGTGTAATAAGTACAAGCATTTTGCAAGTTCAATTGTCAAAATCGGTCAATTTTTGAAGTTATACGCATTTAAAAAAAAAGCTTTTTCGGTCAAAGTAAAAAACCGATTTTTACCGCAAAAAATAAATTGCCAAAAATCAACAAAAATTTTTTTTCGCCAAACAAAAAATACGTGTCTTATTATTTTGACCAAAAAACAACATATTTAAGTTTCATAGAAAAAGAAAATCATGACCCGCTCGTTTTGAAATGGAAAGACCCTTATGTTTTAAATAGTATATTCTGAAACAAGTTTGAAATACGGCATATTCCGATCGAGTGAAAAGTTTGTCACACGAGTCTAAGGCTAGGGAGAAAGTGAGGTTGAATCGGCCTAAAAGTTGTTAGATAATAAACACAGAGATGTCGCCACCAGTGTTTATTCCGTCATCGGGTGATAAAATAATTCATTCTGTAACACTTTCAGGAATAGGTAATATATGTAATTTCAAATTAAAAAGTTATATTAGAACGGTCATATTCTGTAATAGGAGGAAAAAAAAGTTTACGAAATATGACTGATCTAATATTACTTTTTCTTGCAGAATTACCTACATTATGTAAGGTGTTGCAGAGTCCCTATACTTTCTGTTCTGATATTATTCAATAAATAAAATTATGTATTGTAACTGTTTTTTGAATACGAGATTTCCATTTGAGATATATGGATCCGATAAGAGAAGTTGCCTTATCCCCTATTATCTTTTCTTGCATATAGAGTACATCTTGGACTCCAAGTATTCTCATAAAAACAATCTGGTAACAATGACTAAATAAAATGAATTAAATAAACTCTTTAGAAAATTTTAAAAGTGATTAGGGTATTAAATATTTTTTATAGTTTAATAGTATACTAGTATAATCTCTATTCGGAAAATACAAATTAAACGCTTTTTTTGTTTTGTTTCCAGGGACGGAGGAGCGGGCACCGACGGTTGCGGCGATCGTCGTTCGTGCGGCGGTGGTGGCGTGGGACGTCGCGCGCCAAGCCTCCGCCTAGCGAACGGCCGGGTGGCAGCGGCGCAGTCCGAGGAGGAGATCAGGTCGCCGCCGCCACGCCGTCTTGCAAAAGATGACTCGATCAAGATCAGCATCGAGAACACCAACACCTGCACCGACTCGCTGGTGACCGCACTCGATGACGAGACCCTGCTCATCGCCGACTACCTATCCAACGACATGAATTACAAAGTAAGATACAGCACAACTTTCTCACTACAAATTCGGTACTGCTAGTTCTGTATTAACCCGTAACCGGTACGGTGCGACTTTCAGGTCATAAACGGTACTAAGGGGTCTGAGAGACACCTACCTTTTAAAATTATTATTTAAATTATTTTTTTGATCTGAGGTTTTGGGGATTCTAGGGACTATATATAAAGTTAGAATATCACCAAAAATAATACCTAAATAAAAGAAAAATTTGAACAAATAGGTTTTTATCAAAACATGTACAAAAAGTGCAGTAGTGCAAACTTTGTGATTAAACTATAAAAAATATGAAACCAAACAAAATAAAACGATCTTTATTTCGAAAAATATACCTTAAAAAATAACATAAACAAAAAAAATTCTAATATATCTTTTTTTAACAACAAAAATAACTGCTTCAAACTATAGCTGATTTTTACAATTATTTTTTCCATAGTAACTTTTTTGTTTTTTTTAAATTTTTAAAAAATTTCAAATTCTTCACTATCTGATCCTATAAAATTATTTTCTATAGAATTTTCACAGACAAGTCCTGAATCGCTGCTGTGATTATCTTCAACGACATAATCACTATAATGGTTATGTAGTATACTACATCATATATATATCACTTATATCGCTGTCGATTTCAAAAAACCACTACAGTGCAGTTTTCTTAAAGCCCTTCTTATCACTTTGTACATGTTTAGAAGGCCCTTGTTGCGAATCCATAACGAATTAATTGTTTTATAAAAATAACGTAAACGGTACGCAGTGGTCTAATAGACCCCTCAACACTTTGACTCCTAATAATTTGTCCGTTTGACAATCCAACCTGTTCAAAGTCTAAGAGCATATTGATAACTGCCCAACTTAAAAGTATTGGAAGCGACAGATTTTTAAAACAAAAGGTAAGGGTGTGACAGCGCTTTGTTCGTTGATGAGTGTCTCCCAGACACCACAGTACCGGTTACGGGTTAAGACAGCGTGGGGCCTGCACCAAATCTCGTTAAGTCCCTTGCTTAAATTTAGGAAACCTAAAAAATATGAGAAAATTACATTTAATGGAGGGTTTTTAACACAATCATCTTCAGGATATTATGTTTATTAACTTATTTATAATACGCTTTAATTTCCGTTCAGTTAATATTGAAAAATTCCACAATTGGAAATCAATTTAAATTCATCGCCTAGGCTTTTTAAAAAATCTTCTTCGTAAGCTCCGACTACCTCAAGATCTCTTCTTCCGAAGAATTCCATAAATAACTTAATGCTCCCATGCGTTTGACTAAGAATAACTATACATTATTTAATTTTTGTTTGGAGGTTAAATTTTCAATGGCTTCATCAAGCGCTGAAGTTATCGTACCTAATGATTTTTTTACATGTTGGGCTTGGCCTCAATATCTGAAAATGCAGACCACATCGCTAAAACATATCCGTGTAAAGATTCTTAAGGGACATATCCCGAGGGTTGATCCCTTGTCGTTTTACCATTCTATATGAAAAAAAGTTAGGATGACCATCTGTTGTCTTTTCAAAAAGTTTCGAACCTGTATTTTTGGAATATTTAAATAAATATTGTTGTTCTAGCAGTAGTTCTGTTGATTTGCACTCCCTCATTATTTCACTTATCTGGTAATCGTTTCTACTGGGTATCTAGAACTAAGTAAAAAATTAGGTATTTAATTAATTAATCAAAGGCATTTTGGGTCTAAATCGAATTTCATTTAAATTCTTCATTGACTTCTTAAATCACTCCACGGTCGTTCTCAGAAACCTAGATATTTAAATTTTTAAAAAACCCGAGAAAAAATTTGAGAGGGTTAAATAATGTTTTGCCATTGGTCTCGTTTAAAATCAGTGCAGGCCTGGACCGATTCATGGGAAAAATTACAAAATTAAGTAAATGTACAAAGTTTGTGTCCGCAAAAAGAGTATAGAAGACTATTTCCTTTCTTCTATAGAATTAGGGAACCAAACTTCATCCAACTCCATCGCGAGATATTTTTTTAATTAAAATTATTGATACAGTCAAGTTAAGGGTACAAATAAGAAATACATTTACATTTACTTAGCCCCCCTTTCATGCGACGGACAGTGGTGGGAAATAAAGAGCGAACTTCTTTGAAATTAAATACCTTTATGTTTAAAATGAGGTCAAAATATTAAAAAACAAAATGGCCGCCACAAATAGGCGCACCAACTATGAAAAAACTGACGTCACGTCCACAGAGTATATAGAGAAAATTTGTCTTGAGTCTTCTGAACTCTTACTGACCAGCCACGAGTGTTCGTGATCAATGAGCGTAAAATTTGACGTTTCGAAACGTCTCGCTCAGGTATGGCTCGCTCTCTCAAAGCCCACATACATAAAATATAGCCACAACCTTTTGGCAGTAATAGGTTCTTTATAGAATACCGTATTTTGTTTTACAAAAAAACATTTTTGCCAGCTTTTCCCCTTTCCCGACCACTGTGCGATATGATGATAAGATTCATATAAACATACCCTACGCGTATCGCGCGAATATAAAATAGCCAAAAAACCCGATGAGTGACAAGGGCGAACATTGCTCACTACCTTCCTTTTTTAACTCACTCACTCCAAAAAAATGATTCCCAGAAAAAAATAAAAATTGCCGTTTTTGAACATCAATGCATTTCTTACAAAAATCAGCAAATCAGTGCAGTAGGCCGAAAGCAGTGAATTCACTGCTAAATCAGTGCTTATGGCAACCCTAGTAAATGTATACATTTAAGCATATAGGCTCAATGACGGCTGATTTAAATTCGTAACATTGTGTTTAATAGCGCGCTCGCCTGTTCTTTCCTTTATCCTATAAAATTACCGCTGGGACGCCCAACGCGCTGGGCGCCTTTTTTGGAGCCCGTCAAGTACACATACTCATTCTCATTTCATTGCAAATCGGAAATTAAAAGTGTTTATACTATACTAATAAAATAATTTAAACCTACAAAACTTTTTAAAAATGACTTACTACCAATATTTCAATAAGCAATAAAGAACCTAACTTAATCTGATTAAATACTTACCGTCTAGACCAAAAAGAAGTAGCTAAATATTTAATGATGTAAGGTCTTTTTATATATGTTAAGATATATCTTATAAATAAGTACTTTCTGTATCTTTTTAAAATTCTTGTTATTTTATCAATAATATTATGATTTTATCTTTAAGCGTTCTATAACTTCAACTTAATTCTTGTCAACACTCACTAATAAAGTAATTGATTATCGCCCAGGCTGTAAAAATAATTTAGACCAATCGAGTTGTTTTGTCTACAACCAATCTAAACATACGTCACTTTATGCACAGTGTTTTTTATATTTGGTCGATCGCAGTTAGGGAATTTCATGCGATTGAGTTGTAGTTATGTATGTATTTATAACAGTTATGCTAGGAAGTTTTTGCTTGTTTGGTTTGTTACTAATGTTATGTTGACAAAATTAAGTAAATGACAGATCAGAACTGTCAATTTCAAATTTAAAAAATTCTAAAAAGGTTGAAAATGTTTTGGTTTAGATAAAGTAATTACGCACTTGCGGAACTTCTTTCGCTTGTAAGTAAATTGCTACATACCACTCGTGTTATGTTAACTACTATTGCCTCCTAGTTTGTAAAAACCAGTTTCGCTCAATTGTAGCCTTCGCTACGCGTGGGCCTTTAATCTTTGAGCTCAGCACAAAAAGACTTCTCAGTCATAAACATAAATAACTAATATGTTTTTTTAAATAACAAATTTTATTCATTTATTTAATTTACATTTCAATTTTATTTAAGTATTTTCTGGCAGTTGCATTTTGGTCTCTGTTGTCTATGGAAATTTTGTAGTCCCCTAGTTAGTAGTGGTGGTTGAATCATTTTAATAGTAATGTATCGAAACTGTGAACATAATTTATTCTTTTTGTGTATAATAAACAAATAATTCGAGAGGTCGAGATATAATCTCTTTATCTAAAAAATTGACATTGCTATTAATTTTTAAGCGTTACTACACAAACGCCTATGCCGCGTAAACTTTAATCTCTTTTTCTGTAAAAAATGATTTTGGATACTAGGCCCCTTTTTTGGAAACGCGTCAAATTTTGATTTACATAACCAAACTTATATGAAATCAAGCAGTAATTACGTGAAACAGTATTTTAATTAGAGGTGGGCTGTTCGATACGATACGTATCGATACAAGTGATACGAACGGGATATCGTTAGAATCGATATAAATTTATGTATCGAATACATTGTATCGATTATTTAGCTAATTATAATTCATAATTATGAAAAGTCCTTAAAATGCCATATATGAAAATTTGATTTTGCGGTTATACCGTATTTTTATTAACCGAAATTTTGGAAGTTTGTTCGATCAAGGCTGACAGTTGGTATTGCAGCTGACTTTTAAGTGGCTATCACAAAACTAGTTTTGACTTTGGCTTGGTACTTTTTCTGGGAACAACACGTAAGGTCTAAACTCGTTCGAACTAAAATTTAAAAGCACAAATGTTGTGTGGATTGTCCTTTTTCTTTGGTTTGGTTGGGTTAAGTTATTTCAAGTTATTTTAAGTTTACATTGTAAACAATTGCAAAACAAATTGCAAATTTTCATATACCTATATTTTTTTTTCGTTACCTTCCTAATAATTAAATTCATTTAATAAAAGATTTTATCTTTCGTTCCATTTTTTTTTTAAATCTAACCGTATCGTATCAAAATTGTATCGATATAAGCGATATTTTGAAAATTATACCGATAACGTATCGATACGGCTTCTGTATCGAACAGCCCACCTCTAATTTTAATTGAAAAAAAAAAGTGATTTGAAAATAAAAAGCATCTTATCCGAACCTCATAAAGAAAAAATTTTAAAACAAATTTTATATTAAACAAACAAAAAATGTAAAATTTTCTAAAAATAAACTTTTCCTTAAATTAGAAATAAAAAAATATTACGCTTTAATAATAATCAGTGTTGCCTCCTCTAGCGTCAATGCAAGCACGAATTCGACGAGGCATGCTTTCTATTAGGTTATTAATTTTTGAGGAATATTTCGCCACTCCTCTAAAACCTTATCCCACAAGTGCGCAATAATTATTGCAATCACACCTTCCATTTATAAACAATTTTTGGCAACTCTGCTAATTATGAAGGTAAATTATCCTGCATAAATATAAAAAATCGCAAAAAGCCCCTCTTTACAGCCTTACTAAGGGTTGTAGCACTATATCCACATATCTAGAGGTTTGTCTTATAAGACAAACCTTAACACGTCTAAGAAAAAAAAATACCAATGTCACCACTCCAAAACATTGCACATCCTCCTTTGTATTGGGTACCGACCGGACAGCTCGGAGTTTAGCTGGTCTCCAATTCACTGGGCGTGATTGTAGGGCACTTCTGGTTTTATACGAAAGTAAGAATACATTTCGCCGTCTTTATTGATAAACAATTATTTTCCAGTTTTGATGCTTCAAACACCAATTTAATGGCCAACTCTATTTTGCACTAAATGTTGTGGAACCCCTTAATTGTCTTGGGAGATTTTTTTTTAATAATGCCTGATAATACACCCCCACATACCAGCAGAGTTTCCAAAAATGATTTGTGGAAGAGCAGCAAATACATGCTTTGTATAAGCTGAACTTCGCCCATTTATTGTATCTTTTATAATCATGATTGATAATTATTGATAGTATTGCAATTCATTATTATTATTATTATAAATGGAAGCTGTAACTGTTTTAGAGTGGCCTTCTTGTTCACCCGATCTTAATCCAATTGGGAACTTTTAAAATGACCTTTTTTTCTTTTTAAATTTTAATTTACCGTAAATTTTTTTCTTAGATAAATTTACATTTTTGGTTATTTGTTTTTCATGAAATTTTTTCATTATTTTTGCAATAAAATTGGTTTGGATAATAAACTGCTCTTTATTTTTAAATCAATTTGTTTCAAGTGAAATACTAAAAAAGTTTTTCTGTCTTTGTATATTTTTGTATATTTTGTATATTTTTAATTATTAAGCCCATAAAGCCAAACTGTTATGTAATGTATTAAAACTGTGCACGGTTGGAGTTCATCGATTTTCGCATGCTACAATGCTACTAAGCATGCTGACTAAAAAGCTTCATGGTCCTTTTATAAACCCCGGTTAGTAATTATTATAACCAGCTGGTTTTTCTGTTACAGGGCAGCGGTAAAGTTCACTTCGGCGTGGACGATGTGTCGCTGTACGGCACCCCGAAGGAGGAACCCGGGCCGACGCCACTGGGTTCTGCCGAAGCGGGAAAACAGAGCTTCATCAAGAACCAACTGCAGGCCCTCTTTCAGCCCACCGACAACAAGCTGGCCATGAAACTGTTTGGGTCCAAGAAGGCGCTGATGAAGGAACGGATACGACAAAAAGCGGCTGGACATTGGGTCATACATCCGTGTTCCAGTTTTCGGTAAGTCACAAAAAATAGACATGAGGCAATTTTTGTTTGTTATCTAAAATTAAAACTAGATAAAAAATAAAATGGACAAATTTTGTATAATCGGTATAATTTTATTAATTATTACTTTTTATATTAAATTTTTTAATATTTAAGTAATAATTACATAAAAGTGTAATGGGAAAAGGAAAACGGGATCTCTTGTCGCTCAGCTAAAATTGTAGTCAGCTCAGCTAAAATTGCAGTCAAGGCAACATCGATCAGGGTCGGTCCTTAAGCCTATTAAAAAATGTCCATAAATTAATGTATTATAAATATTGAGTGTATTTTTAAAGAGAAAAAAAATATGATTTGTAAAAAAATATACCCAGAATCTTAAATGTTAAGATTTTCGAACATTTTAAACTAATCATTGATAGTTAATTTTAAGATTTGTAAAATATAAACATTTCGAAATTAAACCACGCGGCTGATTTGGACCCAAATTTTATCATGTAAAAGCCAATGAACACATAATATATAAATTCATAAATCAATTTTCCATACAATACCTAACATTATATATCTTTTGTGATCAAAAAATAGAAATAACTCATAAATTCAATTTATTTTATTGCTTGTCTTGAATTTCCCAGCAAGTTCGCCTTTGTTGTGACCAAATCGGGTTAAAAGATGGAATTTACTCTACATGCCATTTCGGAGTATACATTTTACATCATTTAAGTAACTTAGAGCTTAAACCATGCCAAAAACTAAGTACCTAATATAGAAAATATTTATAAATACTTGTAAATGTATGTACATTATGGTGATTCGTTTTGAACGACCTTTTTTTAATCATATAACAATTTTTATTTAACAGTTCAAAAGTCAAATTATTTTACACCACCGTGCAATAATAAAAAACATTAAAATTACATAGAACGAGTGCATTTATCTCAAAATTAGTGTATACGCCTATACCTACCTATAGGTAACTAAAAATTATAGGTCACTTCCACACTAAATTATGAATGTATAAATCGAAAAAAAAACATTCCCTTTAAGTAGGTCTTAATCGTACTTTAGTTTTGATTTTTTTTGTTGAGAATAACAGGAAATAAAAGTCTCTTTTCAATTTCCTATAACTTGGAGAGATTTTACGCTACTACAACTTACATTTACAGGTGCGATTTGTAGTCTAGATGCTCTTTACAATTGTACTTAAGTAATATATTTAAGTAATATGTATTTGAACCTGTTTACGTCACCAAAGTAATATTTTTAATAAAAACAGTATTTTTTTTGCAAATCGGTTAAAGTTACAGGTAAAAAGAAGAACATATTTTATTTTTATTTTAAATTTCTTACAAAAAAGGCACAAAAAGACCCGTCTCAACCGAATGACATACAACATTTGAGGAGGTCCATTCCCAAACTTGGCTTATCCACTTTTTGATAAAAATGAGTTTATGGTGTCTGTACATTTAATATGTAGCCCCTATACCCTAAAAGCAATTTGTATCCCGGATATTTAACAGCCAATTCTTATGTAAAATTCTTCCCTAAATCAGAAAAGACCGTCAAAAATTTTGACTCAAAAGTTAAGAAAGTAAAGGAGTTTTTAAGATAAAGTAAATTTCATATTATATGAAAAATTGACTAGGTATATCTCTAAAAATTTTCTAATTTTATAACTTTTGACGAGATTATGGCATTCAGCGGACAATTTTACATAGGAATTGACTGCTAAATGTTCGAGGTACAAATTGCTGTTGACAAGAATTATTAGTGGCTGCTTTTTTGCATGACAATTAGTCATTTTTGACTAATTCATTTTTACAGAGTTGCCTATTATAATATAATTATATAATTATAATAATATATATAGTTCTAATGCATTTTATGCCTATTATAATATAATTATAATAGTATATATACAGTGTGTCCGTAAAGTCCCGGAACATGTGATTATTTTGAAAACGGTATTTAAAAAAAAAAACGCTGAAACACGTCAACTTTGTTATTTTTCTAGCAATATTTTAGCATATGTAGTTGTTCCAAAATCTGCCGCGTGGCGGCGCCCCAATCGAAGTAAGTTTTTTTAAATTACAACCCTTAATTTTTGTTGCATTTTTGGATAGCTACCGTCGTCCTGAGTACATTGATATGCTACATGTGGAGGGTTACATAAGAAAATTTTTGAGAAAAGTAGGTTTTTGCCGCTGATTAAGATTTTGGTTTTGACGAACTTATTCGCTGTTACGGGGCACTATGCATTGCTAGTAAGGGATTATTTAAATCAGGTCTTTCCCAATCGGTGGATAGGTCAAAAGGGTCAAATTGAGTGGCCAGCGCGATCGCCCGATTTGAACCCTTTAGACTTCTTTTTATGAGGACATCTTAAAAACCGCGTCTATGTAAACAGGCCTTAAAATTTGGACGACCTAAGACACCGAATTCAAGCCGAGATCCAGATGATCACTCCAGCGGTACTGGCAAACGTACAACTCTCGTTTGTAGACAAGCTGTTCCATTGCCAAATAGTTTACGGTGGACACTTTGAGCAACTGCTCTGATTGGCTTTCCAAAAAACATTAAGCAACGCATAGATTGTGTAAGTTTGACAAAATACCAAAATCTCATTCGGCGGCAAAAACCTGATTTTCTCAAAAATTTTCTTATGTAACCCCCCAGATGTGGCACATCAATGTAATCAGAACAACGGTAGCTATCCAAAAATGCAACAAAAATAAAGGGTTGCAATTTTAAAAAAACTGACTTTGATTGTGGCGCCGCCACGCGGCAGAATTTGGAACAACTACATATGCTAAAATATTGCTAGAAAAATAACAAAGTTGACATGTTTCAGCGTTTTTTTAAAAAAATTACCGTTTTCAAAATAATCACATGTTCCGGGACTTTACGGACACACTTTATATAGTTCTAATGCATTTTATGTTATACAAGAAGATCCAAAAGTAGCTTTTTTGCCACATTTTTGAAAACTACAGAAATATTGGCCAATGAAATTTAGTTTTTCTATATTTAGTTTATTAATTCATTTATTTATGAACATTACTTTAATTTAATTCAATTCAATTTTAATATTTTATTTTTATATTACGTAATTAGGTACTTAATATTGTAGATGCTGCATTTTTGCTTAGCAGGGCAGAATTTAACTTTAATTTGATTAAAATATTTTATTGTAATTAAAATTGATTGCTGACGATTTATGTATTTCGTATAATGTGAGTTTCTGGTTTGACTGGTCCAAGCAATAAGTAAGTAAGTAAGACCACAGACAGGTCTGTGAGTAAGAAAGACTTTGCAAGCGGTTGATGAAATCGTAAAACTCTTGCATATTACATTGCTGTAGCCTGAGCTAAATTTACAACTTCAAGTTTAATGTCGCCCATGCTAAAAGGAAAAACAATCGATATGACAAAATAAAAATGAACGTTACCTAATCGTGTTTTGTAAATTAAATGAAATTTTAACATTGGAATTTCATCAAAGTTGTAGACAGTTTGCCAAAATATGAATTCCATTATATCCAAATACCAAATTAAAAGTATAGAACAATTCAATTCTGAATGTGCAATTTAACTACTTTAAAAATACAAACTATAATACCGTATTATACGAATAGTTTATTCCGCAATGCTTTTATTGGCATACACCACGTTTTTCTAATCATTTTTGGCCTTGAACGTAATATTGCTAATATATTATTAATTATTACATCGGTCGCGATTGCTACAATTAAAAATGAAAATTGATGGTTCTATTCAACCCAAATGCATTAATTAAAATTATTTGCATTCACCAGTTTTTGCTCGATAAAGAGGGTTATTCTCAATTTTAATGAATACTACTACCAATAAAAAAATCTCAACATAAAAGTTTGTACAAAATAAATAAAACATTATTTTTAATAAGTACTGAATCGACTCGGTTCCGTCGATCGGAACTTCAGCAAGCACCGCGCACTGAATCGGCAGTTTATCTTTAGCAAAATGAGCATAATGAGCTCGAGTTTATCAGAATCTAACAAGAATGTTACACTCATAGAAAAAAATTTGTTAAATCAAAAGTTTTAGAAATGTTATGCCTTTTGATATTTTAATATTTTAAAAAACAATAAACATTTTGTTAACATAAACTTAAATTTTACTTTCAATTAGTATTTTGAGAATCTCAAATGTCAGTATATCAACACTAAACGTGTATTGAATAAATATTGCTAAGAAATTTGATTAAATCATTTTTCTATTACCTAGTTAAATGGATACAAACGCAAACATTAAACGTATATGTAAAATTATTAAAGCGATGTTCTTTTGTATTTTTCCTTTACAAACTTAAAATATTAAGTCAACATATCTTAATAATTAAGTATTCTAAAATTGCAAGTTAACTGTTAACATCTTTATCTTATTATTTCAATGTTAAGATAATTCAACCGGGGGTAAGACTGTTAATTTAACTCATACGAAGATTTAAATGAATTGCCTAAATGTTGTATATTACGTCGTTGTATAGCGCAGCATATTCTGCCCTTCTCTTTTTCTATCTCTGCCACCACACCTGGCCACGCCATTGTTCGTTCTAGTGTCGTTTGGGTGCAATTTTACAGTGAAAAAACTTTTACGGTACAGAATGCCTCTAATATTTTAATATTATTATTTTGTAATCGTTGAAGACAAAGCTAAGTTTATAGTAAAATTTTTTCGCGTTACCATGCTTGTGACATGATTATTACCTGCCTACATGTAGGTACATGTTTTAATATAGCATTCATAATAATATACTAAGTGTTTCATAATGAACTTTTATAACAATGGAATTGTTATTAGACAAATGAGGATTTGCCAACCTAATTGATGTTTATTTAATTGTAGTATTATTGAATCAAAAGATATTGATGAGAAAATGCTTTCAAATATAAACGCCGAAATTTTTAAAGCAGGTCCTTAAATAAGGTTTTTAAATAAATAAGAGAAATACAAAAAATGTTAAAATATTTTTTCT